TCCCCCTCCTCCAACACGTCCACAAACTCCCACGCTACCCCCTCCCCTTTACAACACCACCTCCCCTACATTAAAGTGAACCTACATCAGGACACGCCCTACCACCTGGGTACAGCACGGGACTGGTAACACTACACGACGACGCCCCCTCTACACACACACACACACACACACTTCCGTGGGGAGAGACCTGAACCTAATGGTGGCTTGACTGTCGTCACACCCTCATCCACGTCACACCCTCACCCACGTCACACACTCACCCATGTCACACTCACCCACATCACACCCTCACCCATGTCACACACCCGTCACCACCTCTTCTACACATTACATCAAGGATGTACATTCCATCAAAACTTTTCCTGAAGAGGCCCGTCTGACGAACTCATCACTCGACCATTACTAGAAGCGTTCTCTTGTTAGAAGGAAAATGAACGCAAGAGTGAGCAAAGATTCTGAACTCTTAACTCACACTTCAAAAAACGAACAATCAGACGCATATCTTTATGCATGTACGCACATTTTCATGTGTACATAGCAACACCAATGAGTAACTGCGTTTGTACTGATGTTTGTATCAGTTTATTATTATTATTATTATTATTATTATTATTATTAAATATGACAAAATAATAGATAGGTAGATAGATAGATATGCTGAAAGATAGCTATGCACGTAGTTAGACAGACAGTCGGACAGTTTGAGCACGTAGTAGTGTAGGTTAAATTACGAGATAAACAGCATGGATGCGGATGTTTGGTAATTATCCCCTCCCCCAACACACACACACACACACACACGCGCGCACGCACACACACGATGCGGATGTTTGGTAATTATCCCCTCCCCCAACACACACACACACACACACACGCGCGCACGCACACACACACACACACACACACACGCACGCACACACACACACACACACACACACACACACACACACAGTATAGTGCAGTTTTATAGAGTGAATATAGAACAGTCCACTACGGTACATTTGATAAAGATAAAATTCATAACAATACAGTGATACAGTACAGTGATATACGGTACACTTCAATACATGAAAATACAATGACTTACAATACAGTAAAATGCACTAAGATTCAACTCAAGACATTGGAATACAAAAAGTCCACAAAAATGCACTAGAATAAAATAAATGCAGTGAAATGATAGTATACATCACAGTTCGAAATAATACAGTAACTATGATACAGTAGGTGTACCAAGTGCCTCCTTTAACCTGTAATAAATATATAGTACAGTACCCGATGTTACCGTAATCTACTTTTTTCGTAGCCTGTAAATGTTCCTAGTAATTGTGGAGCTATTAAATTTTCATTACAAAGCCACCATCATCATCATCATCATCATCATCATCATCATTTTCATCATCTTCACTAGTTTTTGGGTATGATTACGTCAATGGCAGAATGGAATTGTTGTAGTTTTGTTTTATTGTTGTGTAAATCTCTTGGGTGGGCGTCTTCGTGTGTGTGGGAAACCGGATGACTAGTATCACTCGTTCTGGGGGAAGGTGTCATGTTGGTGGTGCCATACTGAGGAGGTGCCATACTGTTGGTGGTGCCATAATGAGGAGTTACCATACCCAGAGATACACAAGGAAAGGGATGGAACCACAGAGATGCACTGTACAGACAACCAAACGGGACAAGAAGACCTCGCTGATGACCTGCACGAAGGAGGGAGTCATAAGGGAAGCACGGTACCTACACGAAGGAGGGTGTCACGGTAGGCACACACACACACACACACACAAAGGAGGGATCACACCAGGGGGGGGGAGAGGAGACACAGGGGTGGGGGAGGACATACAGAGGGAAAGAATAAGAGGTGGGTCGGAAGGGGTTGTGATAGCTGAGTATGGGCAGGAGGGGTGGGGGATGGTGACCACCTCGTGACTGACTGACCTTGCCTGACGACGACCTGCCCAGATCCGGCTCCTCCCCAACCCACCTCGGTTCCACCACACTAGGTTGGCTCCCAACCATATCTTCACACGACAAGCTTTACTCTTGGGGCCTTCTGAGGGAGGAGGAGCTGGTGACTAACTTCTGATTCACGTCGTAGAGAGGAACGTGTTTGCAACCACCTCACAGACGCAGAAAGAGAGATGTTTGCACCTCAGCATCACGTGTTATCATCAAGTCGTGTTAGACGATGTATATATTAAGTCAGACCCCTAAAAGGAATGTTAGGAGGTCATGCCAAATTTAATTTCATATTTTTTTGTGATAAAATAATTAATGGGTCATTTTAAGCATTCAAAATTTTCGTAAGTACCATAATCCACTTGTTGAGGCGTCATCTGTCCACACACACACAGACTACAAAAACCAATATCTGACCATCTTTCAACCCTTACATAATCCATTAAATGACGCCCATTCATGGTTTTGAAGACAACCGAGAATGTAAAATATTCTTGGTATAGTACAAGCAAGAAGTGGCTGCATCCTTAGCGTCAGCGTCTCATTCAGTTTTCATGTATGAACAAAAAACAGAAATTATATATTACAGCGAGTCTTAATAACTTGCATTTTCGATCAAGCGAAAGCGCTGTGTGTCTTCCTGTATTTAAGTTGGAGTTTCATTCATTTTTTTTTTTTTTGTAAAAGCAGGAAGCTGTTCTCCAGCATTTAAACCACTTCCCATTCATATTTTTTGAGGGGGTTATAGTGTAAAAAAAAAAAAAATCTTTTGTGGTGGTCATCACCAAACACCCGACAGGAGACGCCTATCTTTATTGTTGACCCCAACTCAACCTTGGCCCAGACACACTCACTCGCTAACACCACCTCCTACTCCTCTTCCCTCTCCTTCTCACCCCACTTCGTCCCTTTAAGCTTGCTCTTCTACATTTACGACCCCAAACAATTTTTCATATCCCTTTAGTTAACCCAGTACATACCTTCCCTGATCTGACTGATGGATGTTTTATGGTCGAGTAGACTTGGGGGAGAGTTGAACCGAGTTCATTCAAAAGACCTTTAAATCAGTGTCGCTGGTCGCCAGGAAACAAACAGTTGGGAAGAAGTGAGGCAGTAATGGGGTGGGGGTGGGTGTCTTAAGTCAACGCCTGGTAAATATATAACCTATTGTTGTACATGGTTCAGTTACATGCAGTAGCTGGCTTGGACACGGGGGACCTCCGTGTGGGGTGCTGGTGGTATAAACGTCGCTTCTCCAGCTTCAGCTTAGAAGGGGACTGGTGTGAAGCATTAGTTTACCGTTCGATGGTGTTGTGGTGGTGGTAATAGTGGTGTTGTGGTGGTGGTAATAGTGGTGTTGGTAGTTGTAATAGTGGTGGTGGTGATGGTGGCGGTAATAGTGGTGATGGTAGTGGTGATGCTGTCAAAAGCTAGGGGGAAACATACGAACAATTGCGAATTATCGTCAGTAATGCTGTAATAACATCAGCTCACCGTGGCTAGTTGGTGGGTATAGTTACGGCACTGTTTAACACTGAACACTTAGGGTAGTTGGGTGGGTGGTGTCGGGGTATAAGGGTAGATATGAGGTGGGTGGTGTTGGAGTAGTTCGAGAACGAGGTGTCCCCCGGGGGTGAGGATGAGGTGTAGTGACCTTGATCACGTGGCCTTGTTTACCTGGCCGCCAAGGGGCTGCCTCACTCCCGGATGCGCACCCAACAATGTGACGCCCACGAGGAGGGTCTCGCAAAGATTCCTGCCGTATTTTTTTTCCGTTTCAGGAGAGATAGGAAAAAAATATATCTTTTTGTGGTAAAGACGGCCAGAGATCATATTCCCAAAGGTCTTACGATAATACTGGCTCTGTGTTTCACTGGCCCGGTTAACTTTGGAAGATTATAGGATAATTTTCCCCCTACTGGCAACACGAGAACAGTATCTGACCTACACACTTATGTCATGGTTCAGGGGTAATTTTTAGTTTCATAGGATAAAATTTTCCGTCAACTGGAAATGTGAGATGCAAGATGCATCCAGCTGGCTCGCTTAATATTACGGCAAAAAAACAGCTAAACCTTGTGTGGAAACTGAACTGAGACTAACACCGTACATGGCTGTGTTCTCATATATAACCCCAATAAGGTGGAGAGCAATTAAGGTACGACGCTTTGAGAATGTAAACCCTGGCCAGTGTTTTGACAACTGTGTGCGCGTGTGAGTGTAGGTGTACAGTATGTATGTATGCATGTATGTAATTTAATTTAATTTTGCCACGTATAGCGGCTAGTTTATTGTGCACCCCCATACTCTATCCTGTGAGCGGTAGCGCAATAGGATTACAGAGTAGAGTTCACAAAGGGTCAGTATAGCTAACTCCCGTGGTCAGGATATTATGGCATTGAATGTTACAGAGCATTTAAAATATATTCTTTGTTTAGTTCTATACCTAGAAGGTAATTTATTCGCAACTGCATGAGTACAGTATGTTTGTGGGTGTACTGTAGGTATATGTCGTGTGGATCTAGGTGTATGTATGTGCTGTGTGTGTCAGTGTGTTGTTTCTGTCATGAAGGGGATAATTTTCACCCACTACCCTCCTTTTGTTTAGTCTGGTGTAATGTGTGATGTTTGGTGGACCTCCAGGGGGTAAACGTGGCAACAGCGGCCATGCTAGAGCGTAAGGCGCTTCCAGGAAGGTGGGTTTCCTCCATGATTCCAGTGAAAACAAAATGGAAAATCAATGTGTTTGTTGATATGGCGTTACATACAAGACTTATCATAATGATAATAACAACACCCAGTTTACATCAACGGAACTCTATAATTTACATCATTACCACCGTACGTCATTTTAACGTTGTCATTCTTGTTATTTCTGAAGACTTTGTACCGCCTTCCTCTGCAGTATCCTCTTCCCTCACCTTCCTCACATGGTATCCTTACAGTACAGCAGCAAATAGTTAGCACACCATACAAACAATGCATCACTGCTCCCCTTCAGAAACATATACTGACATTTTTGTTTTGTTTCGTTACAGTCAGCTGCACGTGGCGGTAATGCAAGGCTTCATCGAGGTGGTATATCACATCACGCGGCTCCTCCCCCACCAGGCCTTCCTCGACCTGGCCAACCACTCCGGCAGGGTATGTATGACACAAGGGACAGGCATTTTTAACATCAACCAAACCTAACGTAACCTAATCATATCGGACACCTGACACAGGCCATATCACAATTTAACTTGTATTCTGTGTCGCTCGATGTAGCTCACAGTTCGTGCCAACTATGATGAAATCGGTCTTATGCATGAGGAGGTCGCTGTCATTGTGCACAACGTACAATATACACGACCCTCTAAGCAAACAGAAACTGAGAACCGGACCTGTGTGTGTGTGTGTGACGCAGGGAAGAGGAAGACGGTAACATATTTCACCGCACTACAATGGTTCAAAGTTTACGTATTAAAAATATATGAAATTAAACAAAAGTGCGTTAACAAAATAATATACCGGCCTTAACGACATCCGACATATCTTCCTAATATTTCCAATAAAATTTCACAATATTTATACTTAATAGTAGTTGTTTATGGTGCTTATTTTAAGCACCGGAATATATGAAGTTAAACCCGAAAAAATAACGCTTACAAGTGTATATAAAAATATTTAAAAAAATGCATTAAAATAAGAGGAGAGAGTAATCATAAGAGAGAAAGAGAGGTGGCCGCACCCACCATTCATTCCTCCCACACACCCTCCAAGAACCTGTTCTGCCACCCACCCCGCTCCTCATTCATGACCCCCACCCCTCCTTTCTTCGCCTCACGTTCGTAAACCTTCCATCTCCACACGCTTGTCGACTATCTTCCTCCTGCAACGCCATCAATAATCTCATCGCCACCCCTTCAGCATCATTTACTCCTCCTGTAATCATCATTATTTTCGCCTATATCATCTTCTCCCTCTCATCCTCTACCATTATCACCTACTTTTACTTCACCTTCGTCATCCTCGTCACTATTTTTAGCAGCATTACCACCGCACGGGGAGAGTCTGTTGTCCTCGCTGTCCCACTCCTCTTGAGATTCTTCACATCCAGACTTCCGCCTCCTCCCAACATCTCAAGACCCCCCCCCTCTCCATCCTTCCACCTTCACATTTAAGTACCTCCCCTTCCTGACGTCTAAGTAGGTCCACCTGCCCCTCACCCCAATCACCCAGAAGTGACAGACCTTTAGTTTCTTACTGTAAAAAATAAAAAAAAATCCAGTTGTCATTTTCCGAGGCGGAGCAACATTTTCGAACACCTCAGAAGTTGTCAACAATGTTCCAGTGTTTTAGTTTTTAGAAGACTGGACCTACTGTATATACGAAATTAATGCAAGCTGTTTTTTTTTCTTAATTAATGTTTTTTATGCCTTAATGATGGTTGATCGAGTCATGATATAAAAAGAAAATCACTATTACATTAATAAACACGTAAAAAAAGATACAAAGCCTAGGGGATTACAGTTACTTGATATTGAAATTCACTTTTTTAAAGCAGACGTGTGAGTGAAGCGTATATGTACTACCGATTTTCCTTGAAAAATGGACTTAATATCAATCATTAACTTCAGTAAGTAAGAAAGTAAATAAATTGATGTTATATTATAAGTATTATAATGTTGTCTTGATGGACGGAAAGTGAATGAAAATGTATGACTGATGTGAGAGACAAAAATAGCTTGCTTAGTCAGGAAACATCCCTCTCAGTCTCATATTAGTCCGGAAACTAGGACCACTCTGAGTGGATAGACAAATGGAAAGGGGAATATAAAATTGTGTTCTTTGATAGTTAGATACATAAATATTTGAAGGTATTAACTGACAGACAAACAAACTGACAGCATGGGTGACTACATAGGAGGAATCTATGGGGGCAAACTCACTCTCTCTCCTGATAAAAAAGTTGTAAGTATAGGATGAAACCAGTACTGGTAAAGTTCATGTTATTGGCCGCTCCGTTTCGCGTCAGATAACTCCACGAAGGAACCGGGTCTTGCTTTGAGATCACCACCACAATCACCACCACCACGATCACTACCACCACCACGATCACTACCACCACCACGATCACTACCACCACCACCACCACGATCACCACCACGATCACCACGATCACCACTCATCACAACCACCACCACCATCACAACCACCACCACCACCACCACACACCACCACCATCACAACCACCACTATCACTACCACCACCACTATCACAACCACCACCACTATTACAACCACCACCACCATCACAATCACCACCACTATCACAATCACCACCACCATCACAATCACCACCATCACAATCACCACCACTATCACAATCACCACCACTCACCAATCACCACCACCACAATCACCACCACTATTACAACCACCACCACCATCACAATCACCACCACTATCACAATCACCACCACTATCAACCACCACCACTAACACCACCACTATCACAACCACCACCACCATCACAACCACCACCACTATTACAACCACCACCACTATCACAATCACCACCACTATTACAAACCAACACCACTATCACAATCACCACCACTCATCACAATCACCACAATCACCACCACTATCACAACCACCAACACGATGACTACCACCACCACTATCAGTACTACCACCACTATCACAACCACCCATCACAACCACCACCCCATCACAACCACCACCACTATCACAATCACCACCACTATTTCATACCACCACTATCACAATCACCACCACTATCACAATCACCACCACTATCACAACCACCAACACGATGACTACCACCACCACCATCAGTACTACCACCACTATACCACCACCACCATCACTCACCATCACAACCACCATCCATCACCATACCACCACCACTATCACAACCACCACCTCTATATCACAACCACCACCACTATCACAAACCACCATATCACCACCACCACTCTCACCACCTCTATCACAACCACCACCTCTATCACAACCACCACCATTATCACCACCACTCTCACTACCTACACCACTATCACTATCGCTACTACTGCTACTACCATCACCACCTACACCACTATCCTGGTAGTGGTGGTTGCTACTGAGAGAGAGAGAGAGAGAGAGAGAGAGAGAGAGAGAGAGAGAGAGAGAGAGAGAGGATGCAAGATGAGAAAGTGGATGTAGGAAGGAAGGAAGGGGGAGAGGGGGAAGGAGGGATAAAAGAGAAAGTAGTAATTAGGAATAATCAAGGAAGTCAAAAGAAAAGGGAGTTTGAAAAATGTAAGAGGGAAAAAATAGTGTGTGCAAGGGAAAGGAGAATACTGTACATAAGAATGGAGGCCACTGCAGCGGGCATATACTGGGTAGTCCTATTTACACCCAATCCTTATCGCTCATATATCCATCCAACCTATGTTTGAAGCGATCCAGCGTGTTCCAGTTATTGATGATGTTTGGTAACTTGTTCCACTCACCCACTACTCTATTTCCAAACCATTGTTTACCTATCTCGCGCCTAAATCTAAATTTGTCTAATGTAAAACTATTGTTGCGAGTTCGCTCCTGGTTGGATAGATTGAGTACCTTTGTAATGTGGCCTTTGTTTAGCCATGGGGAGGAAGGGGAAGTAAAAGAGGGGGGGGGGCAGACGGCACCTCCCAGACAACAGTCGTGTTATCAAGAGACGTAAGTCTCTCTCTCTCTCTCTCTCTCTCTCTCTCTCACGTGTTCCTGATAATGCAACAGCAAAAACGATAACAGTGTGAGTGCAACAGATCCGTTGAACTCATTAATTCGAGCTGACACCTGCTAGGGGCCACACTACCACCTGCGTCCACACTCACTGATAATGTTCGCACGATGAATATTCCTCGTAACTGATGATGTGAGAAAGCTGCTACCTGGCTGACTGAAGTTGAAGCATTTACTCTTGACTCTTCTTTGATTTAGCCTGAAATTATGCTAGGAGTTTCTCTATCCAGTGTTCATCACCACTATCCACTACCACAACCGCTACCACAATCCACTTACCACTATCACCACAATAACCACCACCACCACCCCAGGGAGTGAAGGTCACGAGTTGCCATACTCCCATACCACGCTCTCACACTCCCATACCACGCTCTCACACTCCCATACCACGCTGTCATACTCCCATACCACGCTGTCACACTCCCATACCACGCTCTCACACTCCTATACCACGCTCTCACACTCCCATACCACGCTGTCATACTCCCATACCACGCTGTCATACTCCCATACCACGCTCTCACACTCCTATACCACGCTCTCACACTCCCATACCACGCTGTCACTCATACCACGCTGTCAACACCCCATACCACGCCCCACACCCCATACCACGCTCATACCACGCTTCCCCATACCACGCCTCACACCCCATACCACGCTCTCACACCCCCATACCACGCCCATACCCCATACCACGACATACCCCACACCACGCTGTCATACCCCATGCCACGCTGTCATACCCCCCATGCCACGCTGCCATACTCCCATACCACGCTACTCATACTCCCATACCACGCCACCATACCCCATACCACGATGTCATACCCCACACGCTGTCACACCCCATGCCACGCTGTCATACCCCCATGCCACGCTGCCATACCCCATGCCACGCTGCCATACTCCCATACCACGCTACCATACCCCATACCACGCCACATACCCCATACCACGCTGTCATACCCCATGCCACGCTGTCATACCCCATGCCACGCTGCCATACTCCCATACCACGCTACCATACTCCCATACCACGCTACCATACTCCCCATACCACGCCATACCACCATACCACCTCCATACTCCCATACCACGCTACCACGCTACCACCACGCTACCATACTCCCATACCACGCTACCATACTCCCATACCACGCTACCATACTCCCATACCATACTTCAGATACCCTAGAAGCGTGGAATGCCCCCATCATGATACAAGGTAACTGTACCCTCTTACCCCATTGAGTACCAACCACCACCACCCATAAAGTTTAGAAGTATAGATAACCGAACATTTTGCCGCGTAGTTGGTGGTGGTGGCGGTGGTGGTGGTTGGTGGTGGTGGTGGTGGTGGTGGTGTTGTTGTTGGTAGTGGCGGCGGAGGTGGTGATGGTGGCGATAGTGGGGGTGATAGTGGTGCTGGGGGTGATGGTGGACACTCCCTGGTTGCTGTAAAAGCTGCAAGCGACCTTGTAGTAGGCAGAAGGGCGGAAAGCTAAGAAGGTGCAGTCAGCTCTTCCGCCGTGTCGTCTGTACGCGTCGTTTCTCCTTGTCCGTGTTAACTGTACGCGCTGTTGGTCCACCACTCTAGCACCCAGCCCTGTCACCTAGCAGTAGTATGCAAAACCTAAAAGTATCACCCATAGTGCCCTTGCACCTAAGAGCAACACCCGGTATATCACCTAGCACCAGCACCCTGTTTATCACCTAGCAACATTGTCCAGCCTTAGCCACAACGACCAGAACCGAGCAACATCGCCCAGAACCGAGCCCTAGGCCATAGCAGCAGCACCTATCAGTAGTAGGGCCTCGTGGTGGAAGTGACAACAGCGGCGGTACGCGACACTGACGCTGAGTCACGTGACCGGGGGGCGTCCTTCCTTGTTTCCACCTAGTGAGCGACCCCAGCGGCTGCGGCCACTCCAGTCAGGGCCTCTACTGGGTGGCTCATCCTAGGCGTCCCCAGCTGGCCCCCCACTCATTACTAGTAACTACCTGGCCCCCCCACTCATCACCAGTAACTACCTGACCCCCCAATCATCACCAGTAACCACCTGGACCACCAGGCCAGCTACACACCACCTAGTCAACCACATAACCACAAAACAATCATATAACTACCAAGACAACCACATAACCACCTGGCCAACCACACACCACCTAGACAACCACATAATCACCTAGACAACCATATAACCACCGAGACAATCACATACCACCTGGATAACCACACACACACCACCTTGCTATCGACCAACACTCAATACACCCAAACGCCACCTGGGAAGGAGGGAGGGTGGTTGGCAGGTTCTAGTCTGAGAAAGAACATCTTTCAATACTCACTACCACGTCTGCCTCTTCATGGACTTTGTACTGTAACGTATCTCAACTCAGTGTATTACACAGCTTTTGTCCCGTACTGTAACATGCAGTTATCAACTCACTATAATACACTACCTCTGCCCCGTACTGTAACATATATCAACTCACTGTATTACACTGCCTCTGTCCCGTACTGTAACATGCAGTTATCAACTCACTATAATACACTACCTCTGCCCCGTACTGTAACATATATCAACTCACTGTATTACACTGCCTCTTTCCTGTACCTAAATCTACTGCCATCCTTGTGTTTGGTTTCATCGCCAGTGTTGGGTATGACACCAGCAGTGGTTGAGTGTCGCTTTTCAAAAGTATACACTGTTGTCCGTCCTTCTTCAGTCACTCCTCTTACTCCTCTTTACTACTTGGGCCTCTCACTGCTCCGTACACACCCCGATCTATATTCACATCCACTGTGCGAAAGTCTGTTTGGGGGAGGGGTGCGAATTCCATCCGAAAGTAGTGCAAATTCCTCCCCTTAACGAGAGTACATTCCGTTCTTCTGCCCGCCCTTGACATAATGTGCGTCTTACTTGGTGATGGGCTTTATCGATCCCACCAAGTTTGAAGGTGAATTTATTCTCCCCCTCCCCCCCTCCACCCTTTCCATCTCCTCCTTTCGTCCGATTGAGGCTAGTGGAGATGGAAGAGTGGTAGTGGTGAAGTGGTAATGGTAGTGGTGGAGCAGTAGCATTAGTGGTGGTAGTGGCGATGTAGTAGTGGTAGAGTAGTTGTATTAATGGTTTTGGTGGTGGTTTGAGTTGTAGTGTTGTAGTAGTGTACTTGGTGGTGGTGAGGGGGGGGAGGTTGTGTTAATATGGACTTTCCCACAAGACTCTCTCCTTGTGTACAACTTTTTCTTTCTTGTGTGTCTCAGAATGTGTGTGTTAAGCTCTCTCTCTCTCTCTCTCTCTCTCTCTCTCTCTCTCTCTCTCTCTCTCTCTGGGTGTAAGACGGCGGATGTTGCAATATAGGAAATATTCGATGACAAACAAGAGAAAATAATGAAGGAATGGAAGGGAAGAAGGATGATAGAGATAGAGAGAAGGAATAGATGGAAGGATGAGGAGGAAAGGAGGAGAAGGATTAAGGAAAAGGAGGCGGGAAGGAGTTGTTTAGGCCAGGGAGCAGAAAGGGGTGAGGGAGGGGAGAATTTCACTCCCTCGTTCCCTCCCTTCTAGTGCTGGTGGCCCCCATTAACCCCCCCCCCCCTTCTCTCTTCCCCCTTGTTTGATCCAACCACCTGTCCACACACCATCTAGAACACACTGTCTCCCACACACACCATCTAGAACACACTGTCTCCCACACACACCATCTAGAACACACTGTCTCCCACACACCATCTAGAACACACTGTCTCCCACACACCATCTAGAACACACTGTCTCCCACACACCATCTAGAACACACTGTCTCCCACACACACCATCTAGAACACACTGTCTCCCCACACACCATCTAGAACACACTGTCTCCCACACACCATCTAGAACACACTGTCTCCCACACACACCATCTAGAACACACTGTCTCCCACACACACCATCTAGAACACACTGTCTCCCGCACACCATCTAGAACACACTGTCTCCCACACACCATCTAGAACACACTGTCTCCCACCACACATAAACTGTCTCCCAGTCACTACCTGATGCACCATCATGATGTAACCACCTAGGTGTTGAGAGACGTGATGTGTGTACTAATAGGGTCAGACCATGCTATTTTGTGTTTCGTAACGGGTACACTGGGGTTATTTTTATTATTATCGTTGAAAACAGGGTCACATCAGAGTATAGGCCACTTATTTCAGCTGGAACCTGGTAGTAGTAGTAGCAGCAGCAGCAAAACACAGCCACCACCACTGTGAGTGGAGGTAACAGTTGGGGCCCCGACCTTGCCATCCTGCCCGCCACCCCCCACCATTACTGCCTCCACCAACCACCCCCATTACCACCACCCAAGTTGTGTGATAACCTCTTAGATATACTCTTGAATTACCCTTCAAGATGACAAATTAAACAACTTCGCCTTTGTAACACTAGTAACTGGGTCACAACACAAACTACAGTGTAACTTCGTAAGCTACGTTGTCACCACAAAAGTTACCTTCATTTGAGATGTTTCAGGGTTACCACACGCTGTAATATGTTTATATGATGTAACATGATATAACATGGAGTAACGTGATGGACCATGTAACAAAGTGCTGTAACATTTAATAATATGATGTTACACTTAGTAACGTCATGTAAAATATAATAACGTGATGTAAGGTGTAATAACGTGTGTTGTATTGTTGTATCTGCAGACGGCGTTGCACTTGGCGGTAGCGACGGGGGATGCGGGAGTAGTGCGTCACCTGGTAGTGTGCGGGGCGTCGCCAGTGTCTCGGGACAGGCGAGGCAACACTCCTCTCCACCTGGCCTGTGCCCAAGGCGACATCCTTATGGCCACGCAGCTCACACGACCCGTCACTGTCGCCGAGGTCATCAATGCCAGGCTCTCCTACGCCCCCGCACACACCGCTGGTCTCCTGGCTGCAGACTTAGCTAACTACGACGGTGAGTACCTCCTCCTGCGTCTATCATAATGTATTCTTCCTCCTTCTGCGTCTATCATAATGTATTCTTCCTCCTTCTGCGTCTACCGTAGATACTTCCTACTTCCTTCTGCGTCTATTTAAAGTGCCCCCGACTCCCAAAACACCATCTACTCCTCAGTGGGAGGTAAGAGGGAATGGGTGGAGGGAATTATACACTACCTCTTTTCCTCCCATTGTTACCATCATCATCGTCTTTATCATCATCACTATTTCATCATCACTATTCACCATCACCACTATTCTCCATCATCATTACTGTCACTATCACTTCATCGTAATCATTATTTCACCAGCATCATCATCACAATCAATCATCACCATCACAATCAATCATCACCATCGTCATCATCATCACAATCAATCATCACCATCATCATCATCATCACTGTTTCACCATCATCATCACTATGCAGTTCCTCCTCATAAGTAAGTGTTGTTTTCCGGTGTGTGATCTAACTAGCCACCGCCGCCACCACTGTCACCACAGCCTTGGATCATCTCAAGAGACACTTTCTCTCCACTTGAGTTTACTAATCTGTATCGTAACCCGGGATTAGTAGAGGTATAATTTTTCAAGGTTAGGAGGAGGCCATGATAGAGTTGAAGGTCAGTGAGAGGTCATTTGAGGTTTCAGGAGGCCGATGAGGTAGTGGCAATCGTCGTCACTGGCCTCTTGTGGTTTTGCTGGGTAGGGTCTGTCTCTGCCCTTTTCCCTTCCTTCCTTCGTCCCTCTCTCCCTTCTTTCCTCTCCCTTTCCCTGTCCTCTTATCTCTCCTCTTCCTTCCACCTACTCTGTCCTCTTTCTGTGCTTTCTTTCCTTCCTTCTTTCTTTCTCTCCCCCTCTTCCTTGTCCTTCTCTTCCTCCCCTTCTTGATTTTTTTTTCGTTCTTCGACTTATCATCATCATCTAATATTGCTGCATTTTTTCTTCTGCTGGTGTGTGTGTGTGTGTGTGTGTGTGTGTGTGTGTGTGTGTGTGTGTGTGTGTGTGTGTGTGTGTGTGTGTGTGTGTGTGTGTGTGTGTGTGTGTGTGTGTGTGTGTCCTCCTGAAGGTGTTGGTCAGGCTGGTCACACTACATCCTCACCTCACTCTCACTTCCCGTCTGGCTCCTCCTCCTCCTCCAATCCACCTCTTCCTGGATGGCTATCTCGCTCGCTTCTCTGGTGGTGGATGGGAGGGTTGATGTGGATGCATGGATGGGATAGTGGGTTTGGCGGATGAGTGGGTGAATAGATGGATTGGTAAAGTTTTAGTACTGTCATCTCCTCATTTATCATCTGTTATTCCCAAATATTCCTCCAGCTCCTCTTCATCTTGTTTTCCTAGCTTCCTTCTTCTTCCTCCTCTCCCCCCCCTTCCTCCTCCTCCTCCTCGTTGTATAGCACTTTCCTCCCCCCTTCCTCCTCCTCCTCGTTGTATAGCACTTTCTTCAACCTTGGAGAAACTGTTCATATAGTGTTATTTGACATTGAGTACTTTGTCTGTATTCATGGTCACAGTTCTTCCTTCTTCCTCTTCGTATTCTCTACCTCCTCCTTCTCTTCTCTCTTCTGTCTCCTCGACTTCTTCGTGAAGATGGTAGGACAGGGGGCAGTAGTGGTAGTAACATTAGGTAGTGTTAGTAGTACTGTACTAGTAGTAGTGATAAAGTAGTAGTAGAAGCAGTAAATTGATGGTGATAGAAGTAGTGGTGGTTAAAGTAGTGGTAATGGTGGTGGTTAAAGTAGTGGTAATGGTGGTGGTTAAAGTAATGGTAATGGTGGTGGTGGAAATAGTAGTAGTAGTTGTGGTGGTGGTGGTGGTGGTGGTGGTTAAAGTAATGGTAATGGTGGTGGTGGAAATAGTAGTAGTAGTAGTTGTGGTGGTGGTGGTGGTGGTGGTGGTTAAAGTAATGGTAATGGTGGTGGTGGAAATAGTAGTAGTAGTTGTGGTGGTGGTGGTGGTTAGTGCAAGGTTGTTTACATGAGCATTCTAGTCAGTGCTGTAACTCATGGACTGTCCTGGGAATCCCCACGCCACTACCATCGTCGTCACCATTGCTACCTTCGTACCCACCACCACCACTATGCCTTAAGAACATAAGAATGGAGGAAACTGCAGCGGTTCTATTGGCCCATACTGGTCAGTCCCATTTACACTCAACCCCTATCACTCGGAGACCTATGTACTCTATCCTCGACCTCAGAGCGATAGAGAACCATTATCTACCTTGAATGAATATGTTAACAGGTTGATAAAGATAAAAATAACCTAAGAGAAAGTGAAGATCGTCTTATTTAATGAACTGGCTAGAATAAACGAGTGAATCGTCTCTCTCTCTCTCTCTCTCTCTCTCTCTCTCTCTCTCTCTCTCTCTCTCTCTCTCTCTAATTATATATTTACATAACTTCACTCATTATTTTTCGTTTTCCGTCTATATTCGTGTGTGTGTGTGTGTGTGTGTGTGTGTGTGTGTGTTTTGGGGGTGAGGGGTTGTTTCTGGTGCAGCTGGTCACGGTCTGGTTGTACACAGGTCAAGGTGATTATGATGGTCTAACTAACCCATCACGGTCTGCTGTACATTAGTCAAGGTGATTATGATGGTCTAACTAACCCAATGTCAAGATCGTGATAAACCTGTTCAAGTGTCAGGAGGATTGCAGACGTGTGTGTGTGTGTTTTGGGGGTGAGGGGTTGTTTCTGGTGCAGCTGGTCACGGTCTGGTTGTACACAGGTCAAGGTGATTATGATGGTCTAACTAACCCAATGTCAAGATCGTGGATAAACCTGTTCAAGTGGGTCAGGAGGATTGTAGGTGACGTGTGTGTGTGTGTGTGTGTGTGTGTGTGTGTGAAGCCAAAGAGGTTGTTTCTGGTGCAGCTGGTCACGGTCTGGTTGTACACAGGTCAAGGTGATTATGATGGTCTAACTAACCCAATGTCAAGATCGTGGATAAACCTGTTCAAGTGGGTCAGGAGGATTGTAGGTGACGTGTGTGTGTGTGTGTGTGTGTGTGTGTGTGTGAAGGATACATGAGTTATACAGGTGTAACATGGGGGCTACACCTGAGAGAGAGATCACTGAGAAAGGTTAGTCAAGACAAGGTTTGGTTAGGTAAGGTTAAGTTAGCATTAACTGGGTTGTTAAGTCTTAATTGGGTTCTAAGTCGTGGTTATATAATAGGGTTTGAAGCCTAAAAGTTACATATTCTTCAAGGCTTCCAAGTTATGTCTTACACCGGCTGGAGTGTTCCTACCTTGCTGGCTGGCACGCCCCTGGTGGAGGGTCACATGGTTGAGGGTCATGCCAGAGCCACCTGTTGGCCAATTGCCCGGGACGAATGCCAGCTGACAGGCACTACCCATACCTCTGCCCCAGTACTGTATTTATACTCGTAAAGAAATTATTATTATTTCGTGTGTGTGTCATACGATACTGTCGGTATGTTCTGACACGTGGTGATGAGAGTGAGGGGAACAGTGGAAGGTGTGGGGGGTGAGGGGAACAGTGGAAGGTGTGGGAGGTGAGGGGAACAGTGGAAGGTGTGGTGGGTGAGGGGAACAGTGGAAGGTGTGGTGGGTGAGGGGAACAGTGGAAGGTGTGGTGGGTGAGGGGAACAGGGAAGGTGGTGTAGGGAACAGGGTTGCGGGGGATGAGGGGAACAGGAAGGTGGGGAGGGACAGGAAGGTGTGGTAAGAGGGGAACAGGGTAAAGAGGGAACAGGAAGGGGGGGGTGAGGGGAACAGGAAGGTGGGGGTAGAGGGGAACAGAAGGTGGTAAGAGGGAACAGGAAGGTGGGGAACAGGAAGGTGTGGTGGGGAGGGAAACAGTGGAAGGTGGTGGGGTGAGGGAACAGGAAGGGGGGGTGGAGGGGAACAGGAAGGGAAGGAGGGAAGTTGCGGGAAGGTGTGGGGGGAGGGAGCTGAGGAAGGGGGGTGAGGGAACAGTGGGAAGGTGTGGGGGGAGGGAACAGGTGGTGGGGTGAGGGAACAGGAAGGGTGAGGAACAGTGGGAAGGTGTGGGTGGGGTGGGAGGGAACAGTGGAAGGTGTGGTGGTGGGAGGGGAACAGTGGAAGGTGGGGGTGAGGGGAACAGTGGAAGGTGGTGGGTGAGGGAAATGTGAAGGTAAGAGGGAACAGTGGAAGGTAGGGTGAGGGGAACAGGAAGGTGTGGTGGGTGAGGAACAGTGTGGAGGGAACAGGAAGGTGGGGAGGGGAACAGGGAAGGTGTGGGGGGAGGGACAGGAAGGGATGAGGAACAGGAAGGGGGGTGAGGGGAACAGTGGGGGTGGGGTGGTGAGGGAACAGGAAGGGGGGTGAGGGGAACAGGCAGGTGGGGAGGGGGAACAGTGGTTGTAAGAGGAACAGGAAGGTGGGGATGAGGGAAATAGGAAGGGGGAGGGGAACAGTAATGTGGTGGGTGAGGGAACAGGTGGGGGGTGAGGGAACAGGAAGGAACAGTGGGGAGAGGGAGAAGGTGGGGTGAGGGCAGGGAAGGTGGTGTGAGGGGAACAGTGGAAGGTGTGGGGGGTGAGGGGAACAGTGGAAGGTGTGGGGGGTGAGGGGAACAGTGGAAGGTGTGGGGGATGAGGGGGAACAGGTAGGAAAGCAGTTCCTCCCCTCAAGATGAACTTAACTATTTTATCCTGTACGTTAAATTTTACTTGCCTGTACATATACTTGTACCTAACCTTTGTAATTGTTGTTTAAGTACCTGATCTTTGTACTTGTATGCACCAACATGAACTTTTTACGATATAATGTATAGTACCTGTACTATATATATTACCAGCAGTTATGTCTTTTAAGAACGAAATTAATGAGAAAAGAATAAAAAGTCAGGGAGAAATGACCTTCAATCCTAATTTCAAGACGACCGACGTTAAAACACCATCGGTGACGGCGCCAAACCTCCCTCATGAACGAGTAATCCCGGGTTCCGGTACACCAGGCCACGGCGGGGTAACAATTGGGACAATT